CTATTAATACTGTCCCCTCCCCCCACAGTGATGGTCTTTTTTAAGGAAATTTCCCTAAAAAGGGTGAGCACTGAATTGGAGTATTTGGAGATTTTGTGTGTAAATGAATAAAATGACCCCTTACGGGTGGGCCGAGGGGGTGTTTCTGTCAACATTTTGGAAAGCAATAATATTTTATTAAAAAAATAGAATAATCACATATTAAACTCTGTTAGTAGTATATATTGTATTGTGTGTGATTAAAGTATGGTATTTTTTTTACCCCACCTCTGCATGCAAGGATTTTTTGGCCACCCCACCTAAAGCAAGTATTATTTTTCAGTTACCCCACCATTTTCTCTTCGGCCCCCACCTCTGCCTAAATAATGACCGGTCCCTAATGGGGGGCCTTACCCCCCCCCCCAAAAAAAAATGGCAAGCATTGCTAAATTTAATGTGTGTCTGTTGCATTGTATGGCTGTATGACTGAATGTCTACATGGAAGCTGCCAGGCTGGTAGACCTTTGCATCATGTTGATAGATGCTTGGAGTTGTGGAGAAACTGCAGTTTCCGGCTATCTACAGACTCTAAAAGTTATGGTGGCGCCTTGTGAGATTCAGCCCCTGCAGGAGTGAACATTGTCTCATAAAATTGTATTGTTAACAATGAAATTGATCCACATACTCTACTTTTTTATTCATATTGTCACCACATTTATCAACACTGAACAATATTTTTTATAAAACAGTATAGCTGATGCAAATTCATGCATCACATAATAAAGTAAACTGATTTTTAAGAACATTTTAATGTACAATATTTAAGAATTCCCAATTGATATTAAAGTAAATAATTATAGTCAAAAAATTTTCACCAAACATCTTTAGGTTAGTAAATTGACAAAAAAAGCTATATAGTGTATGCTTTCACAACAAAGTCACTTGACTATGTATTTGAAGTTGCTTTGCTCAAGGATAATTAAGGTATAAGAAGTTTAAACCTACCAAGTGAACAATGTTTTTCTCCTTTGGGGAAGTAAAATTGTCATTAAGTACACAATTTTGGGAGACATGTGGTGTTACTAAGGCAAATTAAGTAGGGTACATATGTAAAAAAAGCACTGCATTGCAGCAAGAGTGAATAATGTGTTGTAGCTGTATTTTGTTAATGTGTCTTATTGCATGTATTAATTTCCAGTAAACTATCGACCTTGATTGATGCTCAGTCAGCAGCTCAGCTAGTGTACTATATGGTACAGTACTTTTTAATGCAATCTAGTAATCCATATAAAACCTAATATAAGAATATAAAATAATATTTTTGTTATCAATTACAGTAGCACATTGGTTACAGTAATAGGCAATTATTTTGTCACTTCTAAAAATATTTTTATGTGGGAACAAAGCTATAGGTGGCAGTATGCACAGAACATAAATTAACATACCTTGATAGTTCTCTTCAATGGGTTTAGTCAAAATTTCGTATTAAAAATCTAAATTCATAAACGTACTAATATTTTACATCACAATGTTAATTCTAATTCGTAAGTATTTTTAATATTATCATTAATAACTCATAACGGCTTTTGTCCAGACAAATGCGTCGGTATAGACCACTCCGGGCTCTTCACGCGTATTATTAACAATGCCACTCCTTACACTTATTGGCATTGACTTTATGGTGTTTGCGAATTGTTGGAATCTTCTCAAAATGATTAAAAACTTTTTCAATATCCAATAATGTCCTCTATATTTTATTTTTGTCTTGAAAGTGTTATCAACGCAAATTATAAACAAATTTTAACTATTTACCCGCCGAAAAAATGTGTGCCGCCATTTTGATTTTTCTCTTGACCAGGAATCCTGGTAAAGTGATGTTAGACAAAAACTGAATCAGTAAGTCAACCAAAATCCTGGTCGATTGAAGTATGTTTAACCCATTTGTGGTTGAAATTCATTGAACGCGGATTTTTTAACCAGGGTGTTTTTAGAGTGTACAGCTAATGATTTAGATTAAAAAATTCAATAGCAAGGACGAAAGTGGTTTTAATAACAAACAACCAAGAAATGTTCATGTGACAAGAGCAACAAATTGTAGCCAGTCTAACAGTAACTGTTTAACGTGCACAGTCTGTCGATCCTGGTGATCAGGATTTATGTCAAGTGGCAAAATTAATCTACAAATAGTTTTAGTCACAAAACACAGGACTTTAAAGATTCCCAGTAAAGTGCTAAGTGTATTTATTATGCCACACACAGTGCATGGTAGTAACATAGAACTATCTTCATTTGAAGCTTTGTTTGGTAGCAGGGCAAAACTATCCCCCTTTAATTCGGGGGTGTCTGCCAGAATTGCCCTGCCCAAACCGATGATGCCCTGCAGCAAATTTTCATTTCTGGCCACTGTTTCCCCCAAAATGCTGGCGAACAGAGGTGGGTGGGTGGGGAGGGGGTGGAAAATTTTTCTGGACCCCCCCCTAACTCAAGTTTCGCCCCTGTTTGGTAGGGATGCAACTACCTGAAAAATACAAGGACAATGTTTCGAGCGAAGGCCCTTCGTCGGGAAGTTTGTTGCGGGGTCTGGAAAATTACACAAGCTTTTATGATCATGTGACAAAAATTAAACCAATCAGATGCATTTGGTCATAACAAAGTACATATACAAAAAATATTAATAACAATAGAGGATATATTAATACAATTATACAGAAAACTACATATACATCTACAAATTAGCATATATCAACACTATGTTGTTATTATTTAAAGTTGCACCTCTCACTTTGTATAGATGTTCTTATTCTGGGTTAGATATATTATGCTAATTTGTACATAGTATTATTTTTACCTAACCATATCATAACCTATGTAAACCATTGTATTTCTTTAAAAAAAAACAAGATATCAGTTGATGTCCACATCATTATATTTGTGTTGTATGCAATGCTTTTTGCCTGCAGATTGATTGAGATAAGAAAATAAAAAGCTGAATGTGCAAATAATCACTTCTGGCAAAATGTATTGCTTTGAATCCCTTGTCTGTAGGTCAACAATAAATGCATGCAGTGCCAGTCAAATGGTCATGAAAGTGGACACCTTTTTCAAACAGATTTTTGTTCCCGTGTGAGTAAACCGTAGTACCCAGAGAAAACCTACAACACTTGGTTCAGGGTTGACTCATTTCAAAATTCCAACACCAATATTGCTAAGAGAAATTATATTTTTAACTTTCACTTCACTAAAATATTTGAGTTGTTTCCTTTGCTATCTGGGTATTTATAGAAAACCAGTCATCAGAGAAGCATACTCTGACATCATGAAATAGACAACTATTTGGCAATTCCCATTACTTGTTGGTCATTGCCACAGTAACAGTATAAATACATGTAATAATGGTACATACATGCTGATAATTTTGGAGACATAGGTAGAAATGATTTTGGTAGCAGTGACCAGTTATGCATGGGCATTTTAAGAATTACCAATTATCTTAACAATGTTTTGATATGTTTGCAACAGCTGTGAAGAGTCATTGGGTATAAAGGGACCAAGGGTGACAATCCATCACAGAAAGGAAGGGATGGAGGCAGCCAATACACTATTTATCAGCTATTTAGCTCTTATAATAATTAATAATGTCAATGTGAATGCTGAGAGAGTTTGAGAGAATACATCTTCACAACTGTTACAATATATCTGACTATACTTTAATGAATTATAATATTTCAAACATTACTAGCAAACATGCTGAGGAAATCCATTGACATTCCACTCTCCAATCCATATATACACTGTAGTTGAAAAACTTTGCCCAAAGTAGCCAGGCACAACATCCTTGGACAAACCAGATAATAAAGCAAATAACTCGTTGACAAAGCGCATTAAAGTAAAATAAATAACAATAGCCTTCTTGACATCACAGTGAAACAAAACGGTTCAACGAATCCGTACAATCCCCGAACATTTCCTACGATTATTGAAAACATGATAAACTGAGTAAATAAATATGGGTTTCTGATACTCGTGTTGCCCCCTATCCGCCGTGGAATTCCTGCCAGCCACAGCCGAGCTTCCCTTTGTAGTATTGGCGCTGGATTTATGGAATTAGTCATCTTCCGTGGCACATTTAATCCAGAGAATCAATGAGCTTCGAGTAAAGTTTCAACTTGCTCGGCACATTCATCCACGAAAAACGCGTCGTTTTGGCAGCTTTTCTCCCGAGTGCAGCTACCAAGGGCCTCCATTACTTTCTGAAAATAATCTACCGGCCGTTCGACACAGTTGTCGTTCAAAATATCTTGATTTAAGACCTCGTCAAGACTAAAATTGCCATTTCGAACGGCCGCCATCTTGTCAAATTAATTATGCTTACGCAGCATTTTTTGAAGAATACCGCAGGTCATAATGAATGGCGAACTAGCGTTTTCGCATGCAAAAATGCCAGGCGTGGTTACTGAAATTTACGCAAATCCTGTCGTTGAACTAAGTTCACATGTAGTGTTTTATCTGCTGAATCCGATAAAACTACAGTACAGACAGTTACGAGTTGTTTTATACGAAACTCAAACTCTACTTGAATGTTTTGAAAAGTTTTCTCACCGATTTTCCCAACAGAACTAAATTTAAGAAACGTTGGATTAAGTCAAAGCGTTATTGTAATCTCTATTTTATCTGTATGATACATATAAGCCAGAAACGCAAAGTGAAATTGACTAAAAAGGCCAACTATAAACCGTATACGCGTTTCGCATTCCTCACGCATTATAATTTACACGCATGCGGAAATAGCGATCATGTCGAATCCGTATTTTGTTACGTCAACAGCGCTAGCTTTAACTGGACTTTAGGACTATTTGTCTCGCGTTTTCTTCCCTGAAATTTTTTTAGACTTCCCCATTCGCCGAGCATGACAATTAGTCAAACATATCAAAATTTCAAGAAATTCTACAAAACAGATTTCTTGTAGTCGCTATCCGTGAATATCACTTCAAATTTTAATATGTCTTTCTTCTCCCAACCATAAACCTTCAATAAAAATTCAGAAAAATTGACTTTTCAAAAAGATATTGCCGCTTGATTATTTGTAAAATTAGACATTAAAAGTGCAAAAGCTGAAACGTCATGGTTACCATGGCACCATTAACACTGTTCCTGCTTGTTTATATATCGACAGCATAAGACTTCTGAACTTTCCTGAAAATTATTATAGTGCCCTTTCTTAACTGTATTCAATACAAATTTGGTTGAAAACGAAGGTTACCTAAAATACTTAAAATTTTAGAAAACTGTAAGGAGTCACCTTAAGAGCTTAATTGTTTGAATATTAAAAGTGATATTTTAGCTAATCGTGACTTCAGAGACAAAGTATCTGACGAAGAAAAATTATTAAGTATATAATTATTAATATATTACCAAATACAACTTTACAAGAATAGGAGATTATAATACCTGAATGAAATACCAGTTATTATATTCGTGCAGGATGGCGATCCTCTTCCAACCAAAATATTGTATTAAAGAGAGCCTGACTTTGTTGAACGCATGAGTTGATGGAACATTTGTGAACAATCCAGAATATTTCGAAGATTGAAATTCCACACTGCTGGGTCCATAGGAGATCTGGGATGGCCAAGGATAGCTAAACATATATTTAATCCAGCTTTGGGCACAGATTCCTTCTACAAAATTACTAATCAAAGCCAAACGTTTTTTATGCACATTCGGAAAGTTCATTTTCAAATAACTCTTTCTTTCTCAATACTCGTTCTGTCGCTGAATATTGCTTCACTGCTTTTGTGCGCACTTTTTTATTTCTATCTGCGCTCCGAGTTTTTAAGTTCTTCAGGATGATCTATTGCTTTTAAAATCTATATAATCTCAATCCTGTACTCCTTTAAATTATCAACTTGGATATTTTCTTTCACCTTTTTCCCCTCGTACGGTGATTTAGTCTGTTTTAGTCACATCTTCCATCTTCCGTTCTGAGGTTATCGCACATTTATGTAGTGATACTATGGTGTAACGAGGCTGTTGAGGCGAGGTGACGTGAAACAAACATGCATAACATTCAAGCAGAACACCCAAGAGCGCGAGAATACTCTAGGCGTACACAAGCATTATCTTCTGTAGAAATTGTGTTTCTCAATTCGGTTCTTAGAACAGCATGTTTTGAATGCCGAGTAATTCTTAATCCCGGCAGAGCTTAATACACGAGCAAATTTTATTTGACAAATTTCATTTGATCAAAAGCTAGAATGCTCGCTTTTGTTGAAAAGTGCATTTGTCACAACACAGTTAATAGAAGCAGGCTGGTTAGGCTAGCCGGCAAACTTCAAAGGGAGCGGAAAATGATGTCGATCCACAGCCAAAATTATGGTCACTTGACCAATATAGTGCATCGTTCAAATGGCGATACTATAAATTACAATGTCAAATTACAATATCGCTGTATGAAATCCTATATAATTTCCTGATTTGTGGCTCACTAATGCCACGAAAACATTGTGGAGAATGAAACATGGCCTGAAATCACGGACAAAATGGGGGCTAATTCGATTTCGTATGCGCACAACGAACTTATTTTACGAAACCAAGATGGCGGATATTATACGGTATTCTATTACAGAAAATATAAAATCGATGCGCACAATGAAATATAGAATGATTTGCATGTTCCACACGTCTACAAATACTATTACCTACCTAAAATAAAGCTCTCGAGGGTTTTGACGTCTCACGATTTGCCATTACAGCCGGCCCGAGTAAGGTCGATTCAAAACATTTCCACACATTATAAGCTTCTATTAAATTCAGCGAATCCTCCCTACTCGCTCACATTTAGTCCATTATAGCCCTGTCAAAAACTTTTGCCGACAACTTCCACACAGTCTACATTTCTTGTACGATGTTCGATCAGCCATTGCGTATAAGTTTTAAAACACCAGAGATTTTAGCTAAGCGGCCCCAACACTTTCAAATTGTCTGTTTTGAGGCAAAATAAAACCAGAAATTCCGGCCATTGCGAGCGGTTTAGGGTAGAAAAAACTTCAAAATGTTGCCAAATACAACGCAGAAAATGCCTTATTGCTTCGCCATTTTATATTCATTTTAAAAGCCAACCGCTGACTAGCAAATGCGAGGGAAAGAGGCTCCAAAACAAAAGAAATTGCGGGAAATGCAAATATATTCAAATTTGTTCGGTGTTCTAAAGTTTAGAATGTTGTATTATCTTCGTTATAGTTTTAGTTTTAAGAATTTCATTCCTACAGTCTTTCACTTATATAATCATCTATCCCTGGATAAAATTTATATTTAACTCTTTGTAAAAAGACATTGTCGAATGTATTTATAAAATTTGCTTATAGTAGATTTGAAGTCGCGCGTATGTCACGCGCGCGCGTGGGAACAGTTTCTGCTCCCACAATTAAACCCGCTGACTGTCTGTGATTTCTGGCCATGGAACATGAACAAGACTATGACCTGGCTAACGAGGGAGATGTGGAGTTTTGCGAGCCAGAAATTGTTGTTGAAGACGTGGATTTCGAAACGCCAAGTGATTCAATCGACTATATATAATCACAATATAATCAATGTTGTGGATACGGAATGTTGTTGATACGGAAAGCGACGAAGACGACGCTGAATTTGTCGAGGCTATAAGCGAAAATGAGGGTAACAGATTGTTACACTGCCCCCAATACACGAAAATCTGCAAGTAAACACAGGAGGCTAGCTTGACGAAACACACAAACACACAGCATCGTGATGCTGCTGATTTAATACCTTCGAGAACAACAAAATCTGCCGAACAGGAAACGCGTCTTTTGAAAGAGAATCTAGCTTCTTATTGTCGAATACATTAAAACAAAGCTAATAAAGGAACACTTATTCGGACCTGACATAAATTCTGCTCTCAAAACGTCACGTCAAATAAGAACAAGTCTTTCCTCATGCAAAAACAGGTCAGAATGTTAGAAGATTTTGACGGGTTATTGCCTATATATGTAAATGTTTCAACTTATGATATCACTGTGATGATATATAACCCTGTAATGTAAATAACTGTTCAATCTGTTCATTCTTTTTTAGACATATCAATAATTGACATGTAATAAACCTTTGAAACCTTTGCAATATATCACAATTCTATCTGAATCGACCTGACAGTGTACAATTAGATCAAGAATTTTTTTGCCTGCACGCAGTCTTGTTGTCTCAGTTTATAAACGTTAGATCATGCAGATATGCTATGTCACATGTATATCAAAGAAAGAACATTTGAAATATCTTTGACCGCATCAATGTTCGTCATATATAGTATTGTAACCCTAATATCTACAGTATATGGCTGAAAATTATATATATGACAGGTATAAGTACAGATATTTTGTATATCCAGCCAAAGCAATATATTGTCTGCCCATACACTGAGCACATTCATGCAATCGAATAAAAAATACTCATTTCAAGCTCATTTCGCACGAGTTTTCGGCGTTCGCGTTTGGATAATTTCATAGCTTCTTTCCGGCAGTCTTTCGATGGGAACGCTGCCAGTAACCAACGTTAACTTTTTCCTACTCCTGAAAAATGTAAATTTTTATTTATTCAAAAATATTAATAATGAGCAAAACACGCTCTTTGTATGTTCATGAATATAATTACAGACATTTGTAAGCCGGATATGTATTCGTTTCATGCACAGAAAATACGCACCGGTTAAAATATATTCTTGCTTAAAATGAAGCTCACAAATATAAATATTGTTAGCGTCAATCCTTTTCTGTAACTCAGGCGTCGATTCTCTCGTTCTTAACTGTGTTAATAATAACGAGAAGCCATTCTGCTCGCGCATTTTGCTTCAAAGATTTCGCATAGTCACTGTCTGAGGAGGCGAAAGATAGCGATTCGAAATAACGAAAGTTTATACTTTCTACTTGTCGAACACCCTTAAAAACGCAGTTTGAGCCAAGCATTACATAACCCTGTGTTGATCGAGTGATTGACAGCTTGGAAAACGAGATTATCTGCGAAAAAACAGCCTTCGAGTCTGCGAGTACCATGATTATATTGTCATATGTAATATGCGCTTCAGCACCGATGCACGATATTGGCCAAATGACCAAAATAAAAAGTGAACAATAACATTTTGTGACGTCATTGTCTAGCCTAACCAGCCTACTTCTATTAACTGTGGTCACAATAACTTTGTCATAAATTTATCATCCATACGAGCAAAATATCTTTGACATATGAAATTTGTCGAATAAAATTTGCTCGCGTAAACGGGGCTTTAAGAATAATTTCGACATCGAAAAAACACTTAGTTATATATATACCAGATATCGTTCCCTCCCATCCTATCTTTTTAGCTTATTTTTCACCTTTTCATTTCAACAGCTCTAGAGATTATCAAAGAGATAGAACGGCCCGGCTACCTTCCTTGGGAAAGCCTCGCCATTTTAATTAATCTAAATAAATATTAACGTTTACCTGTACAATATTATTTGAAGAAAAAGCCTCGTATACAGCTTTTGTAGTCTTTGGTTTAGCTGGACCAATAAATAGGTGAAAAAAGTTCCGCTTCTTGAGAGTAGGAATAGCATCAGTAGTTGTATATTCTTCCGATCCCTACAAAATGCCAATGCTTATGTCGTTCACGGCCTAACTCACCAGCCTATATCAACTATATATGTATATATGACTATTTTTTAAATAAATTCTTACCCTGATAGAGGATAAACAGGTTTTTGTAATCGAGGTTGTAGACAGGCTGTTTCGTGACTGTTGTGGTTTTTTTTGAGGTAAAGCAATATATATATATATATATATATATATATATATATATATATATATATATATATATATATATATATATATATATATATATATATATATATATACTCAGTGCACTTAAGTCCTGGCTCCAGCTCGAAAATATAACATAAACAACAGTTACTACAAACTTGTTTGATCAATCTTCACCAAACTGGGCACAATGCTTGAACTACCCAGTGTTAACATATTCCAATATTTTGTTGCCATGGAAATAGGCAAGTGACTACAAAGTTTGTTATATTATGTCACCCATCTTTGCGGATTTGGGAGATGGGTCTGGGAGCAATGCCAGAATGTAAGAACTAGAGAGCACTTATGTTGAAGTTATTGGATCTAACTGGAATGGGTGTCTCAAATCAATACCTTAGAGCCAAGAAGGAATTGTTTTCAAAATTGATGTATTTTTTATTTTATTTTAATTTTTATATGTGTTATTTGTTCTCAAAACAACCATTCCAGTTAGATCTTTATTACTTGGCATAAAATGAATTCATTTTGATTGTCATTAAGAACAAATATTTGACTAAAGGTAGTCTCCCAAGCTTGTTTTTATTATCTTTGACAGATTTCGGCAGCACGAAAAATGTTTTTTTCTAGTTTATTAGATAATATAACGAAAGTTTTCAAGTGTCTAGGAGGAAAAATTTACTACATGAACATTTCCCATTGAAAAAATACCGTAGAGAGGAAAAAATTCCCTAGGACAGACGATTTTCTATAATATTTTTGTAATTATAAATTCCGCCATTTTGAATTTCAAATATTCTTGTTGCCATGTAAACAGGCATACATACAAGCGAAAAAGTCTATCGAAAACGACAAAAATTAATAATTTTTACCTGGTCTTAAAAACTTTTTTGCATTTAGATTTGTTTATAAACTTTAAAACATACGTATTGTTGAACTTTTGGTATTTTATTCGTGCAGAAAAACAATAACACTAGCTTCATACATAAGTGAACCTGTAAATCACTAGATTGTTCTAATATTTCTGCAAAAATTATTTTAAATGTTATGTGAAATTCAGCTATAGGCTAAATAACTTTTAAGTTTTCGCTAGAGCATGGTTTAAAGTGAAAACAGTTATATTTTTCTGGTTTATTTTGGTTTATTTGATCTTTTAAAACAACTGTTGTTAATGCCACGCAAAATTCTCGCACAATTCACGCAATTTTCAAATTCAAGCTGCTGAGGGTAAAATTAATATCTGTAGCCAGGACTTAATTGCACTGAGTGTATATATATATATATATATATATATATATATATATATATATATATATATATATATATATATATATATATATATATATATAGTGATCTCGAATCAGTAGTTCCAACGCTAATTTGATGTACCAATTTTTTTTTGTTATAAGTCTACTGAAACGGCTGTTCTAGATCCATTCCTAGACTTATTCTGGAGCAGTGGGATCGCTTTAGCGGTCACGCTGCTCCCATGTTAGCCTCATATTAGCTATTGTATATCGTCCAATTTCCCTATTCTAGACCCTCTTCGCCAACTTTCAACTTACCACTGTGGGTAGATAAGGGGGTATGCCTTTGCTGTCTACTTACATCGTTGACATCATCCTTTTTACCCTGTGTAGTCACCTCAACCTTAATTCGTTGGATACAGAGAAGTTGATCCCACCTTTATCACTACTTTTTTTAGGTGGTAGGCTTACCCTTTTAGGACATTTACAGATGTTACCTAGAGACTGGAAACATGACTGATATTCATCGTTTTCAGAATTGACTTTACTAACACAACCTAAGCACAACATTTTCTGTATGATATTAGATATGTTATCCACCGCTTGACCCTGAATACAACAGTGACCAACAAAAAGACATGTCCATACTCATACCAGTAGGCATTGAGTGTTCCGGTTTGACGATGACACACCAGGCTAGCGTGTTATCTACCAACTCAGCTTGGTTTCCTAGGTAATACTCACTATTACCCTTGAAGACGTAGCAAGCTGTACTTCCACCATTACTTAAGTAAGTTCCGTTGAAATAAGTGTGTGATAGCTTACTCAAGTCGATTGTGCCGAGGATGATTTCCTTTTTAGCTTGTGTAAATTTTCCATTAGACTGCTTTCGCATACAGTAGCCCACAGGATGAGTTCTAGGGGTACTCCAGTAACGATCGAAAGAAGTGGCGAATCTGATTTAATAGTAATTGACTCAAGGTTGATGTTCGTTAGATTGTTAATAGTGTCTGTTCTCCATGAAAGTGGAATCTGATCTTGACAGTAAGCATAGTACCTTGCAGCTGCAACTGATACTCCGCGATATCCCCAGATCCACGTGCACTGGGAATAAATGTGATGAATTTTCCTAACATATCTATTATCAGCTGTCGCTTGGACAAGACACGAGGAAGGTTTTAGGAAATTATTTTCCATCCATTGCTTGTTCACAGCATCCTTTGCGTTCGTTGGATCACGTAAATTAGTAATATTACTGGAATCACCCATATCCAAGTCTCCTTCAACCAATTCACCTGTCTTCTGTAGGTACCTATCACCGACCCACTTCTTGGAAACAGCAGAACCGTCAGTTGTCGAGTTACCCACCCTAGTTATCTCAAAATCGTTAGCATCAAGGTTACTTGCTAGTGTACCACCATTACGCTTCACAAATTGTAACCCCCAAGAGTCTATTTTGACAGTGCAGCTGTGTCTCCCCAGAACCATTAGCAAGTCCTGTTATACGGTGTCCTCCCATGTCAATATTGCCTGTCATAGTGAAGCCGCTACTATTTAGTGAACTTCCACTAACATGATCAGTAACCCACTTCTTAGACACAGCAGACTTATCCGTTGTGGGGGTGCCCAACTTAATTATCTCATTACCGTCCATATCAAGGTCATCATCACTCAGTGTCAATCCGCTGTAAGTTTCACGCCTGCTACGTCTACCGGCAATCTTAGCTTCAACCCATTTTCTATTTACAGCATCAAGCTCCTGCGGATTTATTGGAAGGCTCTTGATTCTATTAGTTCCCATGTCAATATCACCTGTCATCGTAAAACCGCTACTATTGATTGAACTTCCACTAACATGATCAGTGACCCACTTTTTAGACACTGCAGATGTGTCATCAGTAGGAATACCCAGCTTTGTCACTTCATTTCCACCCATGTCAATGTCTCCAGCCATTGTGAAACCGTAACTGCAAAACGATCCACCTCCAACAATATTGTTGACCCACATTTTGGATACAGCAGATGTTTCACGTGTCGGCTCACCCAAACCTATAATTGGATTTCCATTCATATGGATACCACCAGTCAGAAACCAACCACTTTCCTCTAGGAATGATCTTGAATTGACCCATCCCTTGCTAACAGCAGACTTATCATCAGAGGGATCAGCCACATTTTTAATCTCATGGTCCTTCATATCAATGTCATCAGCAATGTTAAGTCCAGTGACAGGTCGGTTTAGCATTCCAACGACCCAGTCCTTGCTAACAGCAGACTTTCCAGTAGTGGGATCACCCAAAGCCCTTATCTCATTGGTTGACATATTGAGATCATTTGTGAGGATAAGACCAGGTAGACTAGAATGTGTATGTCCACGGCTACCTTCAACCCACCAGGATCAGTAGGATCACCAGGATCAGTAGGATCACCAACAACTTTGATCGGATGACCTCTCGTATTAAAGTCACCGGTAATGTAAGACGTACCGTCACGTCTAGCGTAGTGACCTATAGTCATAGTTAACAGCTGTCTAAAGTGCACTCGATGGATCACCAAGATTGGTTATCTTATTACCTCCCATATCGATGTCACCTGTCATTGTAACAGCAGCCTGTCTAACGATCTCGTCATCCACCCACTTCTTAGTAACCGCAGATGTGTCGTCTGTTGGTGCACTCAGACCTTTTACCTCATTTCCATCCATCTCAATATCACCCTTCATAGTAAATCCATTCTTATTAAATACACTTCCACCCGATGGATCAACATCATTTGCTCCTTTAATATATCCCCTGTAGAGAGCCATTTTTATACCATACATAATGTTTACAAAATAACTCTCAGTAGGAGGAACATAGTGATGGATCCAATACCAATTCCAGCTAAAGCACTAACACTAGAGCCAACCGGTTTATTTCGCACAAATAGTTTATTATTTCTAGGGATGTAATATTTCCACCGAGAGTGTCAAGGTGATTAACAGGTGTGGTATCCTGATGCTGTTTCTTTGGAGAATCAGTTTTCTTTACACCAACATAGTTAAGCTTTAGGTTAACTCCACGTTTCATACTACTGGTAGCATTCACAAGCACATTATTATATCCCATAACATGATTCTTCAGGATTATTAGACTAGATGGAATCAAAACTATTCCAGGTGTTATAGCGGTATTAAGAATAACATTTGTGTCCGGAATAGCCTTTCTCATATTTGTTAAAGTCACAACGGGATCAGCCTGTACAATACAATCGTGAACAATATTGCTAAACTTTACCTGGGTAGAATACGATTTTCCCAGCTCACCGACAATTGGAGTTCTAGTCGATGCTTGTGCACCCAACACAGAATACACGAATGCCTGCACTGACTCATTCAGTAATAGGACACCAGTCTCAGTAATATTCTTCGGGACATCAAAGGGATCAACAGCAATGAACCTTTTATAGTCAGACTTACTTACTAATCTTGCCGAAACCCTCTCCTCGTAACTAATTTTTATCTTCACCAGGAACCCATTGACTGAATTGATAGGAGACGCCACCACGTTCCTAACGGGATTACTACCACTTTTTCTACCCCTAAGCCAACTCGACCTTTCATACTCAAGTCCCTTGTCGTAGGTAACCCTATAAGTGTCAGTTTTCTTTTCCCACTTACCGACAGTGGGAATGTGACTTTTTACAGGACCCAGCTTGTCCAAATACGGTTTTATCCTTTCAGGGTTATACACATATTTCATAATGCAGTAGTAAACATGAAAATTCATAATACTTGTGACAACTGGGTACGTTCTGCCTGTGAAGGTCAGATGATCGGTGGTAATTCCACTAAGATGCTTTGCAATGTATGCACCGCAGAGAGCGGCAAAGTATGGCTTCTTATAGTCGAACTTTACGTCGACATCATCAATGGTAACAGAATTCTTTACACTTGGAAGAAGAAATCCACCTGCACCACCAGTAGTATTAAATGAACTTGTAGCATCAACATATACCTTACCACACGGTAATACCACTACAGAACTTAGTCCTAACAAGCAACTATAATTCAGTCTTTGTGAAAAGAGTATCGGTCTTCTGGGAGTATTTCAATATTAAAGAACAAACAACACTACTCACTGTGAAGACAACTGGTGATGTAAACTTTGGCGGGGGATACTATACATTTGATAATATTAAAGCCTTACTCGAGAGGCATGGCGTTATGTTAACATACTTTAGGGAAACAGCTAAGTGTCAGATAGAGACAACAAAACATGATGTGACACTAAGTAAAAAGTTGCAGGAAATGCTTGGACTTAGAAGATTTACTAAACCTATGATTTTACTAAAAGGGAGAAGTTTAACAGGTGACAGCAAAGTTGACTTCAACAACGGCCTACGGTTTGTAAACGTTCATTGCAACCTTGCAAGTAAGAGCTACAACATCAATCACTGGGGGAAGCCAAGAGATGAGATTACAAGTGTCACAGTTCCGACGGACAGACCATTGTTAGACTCAGTGGTCAGTTACATTGACACCGAAAGCAGGACTTCAATTGTTAAGGGTTCATGTACAGAACTGATGTCCCGTGTAAGGGATCAAGACGGGAAACCTATTGATATAGGTGAAGTGCTTATCGAGATGTACCTTGAGTAGCGAGCTTACATTGGTTAATATATGATGGACGACGATATTAAGAAAGAACAGGGACTACGAGATATTTACTACAATCCTAAGACTGGATTTCAAACACCAGAGAAACTATATCTTAGAGCAATATCGGACGGACTTGAAGTAACCAGAAGTCAGGTTAAAAAATGGATAAACGAGCAGGACATATACACCAGGTACAGACAAGTGTTAAGGAAACATAAGTTCAGACAGACGTACGTCCAAACTTTAGGTGAGCAGTTACAAATGGATTTAGTTGACATGACAAAATATGACAACAAGAATAAGCGATACCGCTTGATTCTCACATCCATTGAAATACTAAGTAGGTACGCGTTCACGGTACCAGTGTACAGGAAAAATGCGACGACAATGAAGGACGCTGTCAGTAACTGTTTAGAGCAATTCAAGAATCACTTCGGGAAATATCCAAAGGGACAGAGTTTTACAACAAAGATGTAAAGTCATTGCTCAACAAAAATAACATTGAGTTTTTCTCCACTTACTCAGATAAAAAGGCCGCAGTTGTGGAAAGGTTTAACAGAACACTGAAAGCGCTAATGTGGAAGTACTTTTACAGTGCCAGCACATTCAGATGGTTAGACGTCCTTCAAGACTTAACTGACAATTACAACAGTTCAGTGAACAGATCAATTAAAACAACACCGGATAGTGTCAATGAGTCCAACTGGACTGACGTATGGAAGACAGTTTTTAGTCACGATCTAGGTAAGCCGTCAGAACCAAAGTTTGTTGTGGGAGAAAGTGTTAGGATCTTAAAGTACAAATCAGTGTTCACAAAAGGGTACGAAGCAATTTCACAGAGGAGTTGTTCACTGTGACGGAAGTGTATCACGGACACCCAAACACGTACACAATAAAAGACAGTGCTGGTGAACCAATAATTGGCGGATTCTATGAACAAGAACTGTACAGCGCTGAAGGAAGAGAACCTGATTTCAGAATAGAGAAAGTGCTAAGGAGAAGAACAGTGAAGGGTAAAAAGATGGCTCTCATTAAGTGGCTAGGTTATGATGACAAATTTAACAGTTGGATACCAGCTGGAGACATAAAGTCCCTAACATAGGTTACAGTATTATGGAGGACATAGATGACTACGAGTTGGAGGAGGGACAAAAAAGTTATCATCAGTATGATGACATTAACTACAACGATCTGGTTACAAACTTTGATGAACTAACAAGTAGGTTAAATAAGGAGGTAAGGTACGGTTCAGATCCATTGGTAGCCACTGACCTTAACAATGAACTCAGCTATGTAAAGAACCTCATGGAGGAACGTGTGAGAGCACGGACAACCTTTAACGGAGGAGAAGTAGGTACAGTGAACATCTCAGGGCCCTCGGGTAGCACAACCGTTCCGGGAGTCGACTTCGTGGAAGACCCAAACGATTTACTAGATGTGCTAGATGCATTTAACGATTCATTTAACGCTGATTGGGCCGACATAGAGGACCGCCTAAGTAAACTGAAAAAGTTCTCCACAGCAAAGAAGAAAAGAAACTTTGAAAGCCAAGTGGACCGTGTTCAGGCTGTCACAAGAGTTGTACAAACAAAGGAGAAAATAGTACTCAACCCTAGAAACAAATATGTCAGGGAACTCATCAAACGATCATCTGTCAGAACACTCAAAGATGGAACAGAGGTGATAATGTTTAGAAGTGAACAAGGTATTGACAAAAGCGGAACACAAATAATGAAACGTGGGAAGACGAGCATACCGGTATACTCAAAAGACTCCCCTGCACTGAGAGAATACAAGGAGCTAGTAAGGAACATCAAAGAGCCCCCAGCTGAGGAGGGTGATCCAGCGGTACTAAATGTGTTCAGTGATGAGGAATACGCAGAACGTGAGAACATTGAACTAGTAGACATAGGTGAAACTCTGGGAAACATTCCAGGTCTCACAATGGCAGAAAACAATGAACTGAGAGGAGTAATTAACCCACCGGAAAGATCAGATCTGAGAAGCAGTATAGAACCATCAGGTGCACTGCAAATACAAGCGGATTACTTTAACGATACCGTTGGTGAAACTGTAGAACGTGCAAATAATGCGGAAGGTCTAACGGAGTACAATGCTCTTATAGAAAGAATTGATGGATTAAAGGAAGCAAGGGATAGAACACTGGAGCAAAGAGCTATGGAGGAAGCAAGGGAGAACCAACTGAATGACATTGCTAGGTTACGCAGATTCGTAGACTGGATAGGAAAGGAAAAAGTAGGGCTAACTGGAGTAGCAGTATCATTGGCAGGCTTAATAACAACTCTTCTTGTTAATACCAGGGGTGCAATTGTGGGGGCGGCAAAGGCAACAGGTAAAGTAGCAAAGGCATTAGCCAACTTAGCTAAAAAGGGTGCCCCAATCCTAGTTCCAGTCCTGAACGCAGTTGCCTCGGCACTATCATGGGGAGCCAAAGGAATTACCTGGTTAGCGTCACACTTATGGGTACTAGCTGTAGCTGCAGCCTTAATGGTATACAACTATTACACAAAGTAGATTAACTATGGAGGAATACCAAGAGGAATACGATGACCAGAGGATGGAGGAGTTGAAGGAAAGGTACCCAAACTATGAAGATATGGATGTAGAAACTTTATATAGCGAATTACCGTACCTTAACAAGGACCTAAGAGAAAGTGAGACCCCAGAGGAAGCATTGGATATTGAGGAGGAAATTGCATATGTAGGAGAACTGAGGAGGAGAAAGATATTGGAAACATATGAGAGCGAGGACCTTACGCGGGAGCAATTGCAGGAAAAGTATCCTAACCTAACTAAACTGCCATACGATGAGCTAATGGATAGGGGAGACAGACTATTAAACGAAATGATACTATCAGAGTTGGACGAAGACAGTTTCAAAGAAAAGTCGGAAGAACTAAGATACATCAGAATGCTATCAGGTGAGCACCAGAGAGAGTCAAATCTAAACAGGCTGTTTAACTTGAGAGATAAGGTAAAAAAGAGAGAGCTCATCAGACGGGACGATCATAGGAGACTGCACAGGCTCAGGTTATGGGCAAAAGAGAATGCAGGCATATTATCTGCTGTACTAATTTCCTCAGCATCTGTAATCATAGGACTGATAGCAGCAACTAGAAACATGTTGTGGAAAGTAGGTGACACAACAGGAAAGCTCGATAAACGGATCAGTGAGTTGGTAAACCGTCAAATAGAACTACCACCTGTATTTCAGAAGATAGCTGATTGGGTAGAGTTAGCAGCGGATAATATATGGATAATCATTGCATGTGCATGTACAGCAGCATTTTTACTATACAAATACAACTAAACATTACATACTATATACAAGCATGAATACCACAGAAAGAGAACTCCAACCTGGCTTCAGGAGGAGCCGCATGACTAACATCAAAGGACCTCGAACAAGAAGTGTTGTCACATTTAACCCGACAACGATCAGTCCTGGGGAAGAGTTATATATCAATATACCGAAACTCAAGCCTTCTTCCTGTTTATTCCCCGGATTACTTGCCCCCCTCTTTGACTTCAAGAATTCCAACACTAAAAGCCGCTTCAATAACAACCTATCTAAGCTGCTAGCAAAACGGCTTCAGGTGAAGATAGCCGGTGAGACTACCTATGACTGTTCAGGAGAGAGTCTATTCGAAGTGTACAAAGACCTATGGCTAACACTAGGTGACCGAAAAAAGATGACCGAACAAGGTCTTGCAAACGAAAACTTACGAAAGTTAATGTCATGTGACGACTCAAGGGTAAAGATAGGTGACGCCGGTGAAGTAGCAGATGCACTTCTACACAGTGTATACGGCTCTAAGCTGAGAAAACCGATTGACAAAATAATTGCAGATCATGGGCTCTATGTACCGTTCTCTATGAATAACAACCCTATGTACATTCTTACTCTCCCCCAAGCAGATGAGATTATGACTGCACAAAGAGGTGAACAGGTAGATGGATACAAACTGGACAAACTCGAGTTAGAATACGAGACCATTGAGAATGACACCCTTGCAAGTGAGGTCTCAAGGATGTATTCCACGGGCCGGTCACTGTCCTACAAACACGTCACACTGATGCGTACGAGTAACTGGGACAAAGATCTTACCATTGTCAATGAGAACATCAATGAGAGCATGTCAGCAATTGTCTTCCTATTTACCAACAGAGTGAGAACTGATTCTGAAGAATACATTTACCCAAACATTGATAAAGTCAATGTAACCATTAAGGGTGTGCCAAATGCTGTATTCTCCCAAGATCTTCCCAAAAACAGGTTCTTCGAAGAGGCAAAGCGATTCTTTTGCCCAATGTGCGAGAAATCAATGGCTGACGAGTTTATGTCGATCAGCAAGTTCTTCAGCAATGGTTTCGCTCTAGTGATCGATCTTAGTTCAACACAAGATGATAGCACTGGGGGTGGTAAGAAGATAGTTAACACACAGTCTGGCGTACTCCTGGAAATCAAAAGAGAGCCACAACAGCTGACGTTCAATGCAACATCTTTGTTGTATCAGATGCTCTCCTCAACTTTGCCAATAGAGATCTCTCAAGTATTCAATACTAATCGTAACACATAGAGATGCAACCTCAACCGCCGATCAACATGCTTATAGTTGGTATGACAGGGAGTGGCAAAACCCAGTTTTTCCTTGACATGCTAGAGACAGAGTACAATAGAGTTTTCGACTACATTATCATTGTATGCCCGACAATAGAATGGAATACAACTGATCTCAACTGGAGCCACCTTAGTGATCACGGTGTTATTCAAATTCCCTGTTCACAAGAGATGATCAACCCTGTTCTCCAGGCGGTATCCACCATATTCCGCGGAACTAACACTCTCATCATAGTGGACGATTGTGCGGCAAGTCAAGCTGTAAAGAAAAGAGTCTCAGAACTGGTGCGCTTAGCATTCTCCGCAAAACAGTACAACCTATCTGTCATTGTACTTACCCAACAGTTGCCCTCAGTAGCGAAGCCCTTCAGAGAGAACATCTCCAGGCTAGTTACATTCTACAATCCCAGTCGCAAAGACATGAACATCATAACGGATGATTACCTGAATGGTGTACCACAGGAGACAATCACAGAAATCACGAGGATACTGAGAGATGAAAAGTTCACTGCACTGGATATACTACTTGTCCACCCTTACACTTACACTCTCCACTAAACACCGCGTAACATATAGATGGCTACCGCAGAATCTGAGGATGAATTATTTGAAGCCGCACTTAGAGATGTGGAAGAAGCCGCAAAACTGCAACCCAAGAAGAAGCCCACCGCAAGTAAGTCGCAAACTGAACAGAAAAGGGAGAAACTTATTGAACTATCCAAGGACGGCACTGTAAGGAAATCCGCAAGCTTCATAAGGAAAGCAAACAAGGGAGTTGTAGAAAAACTGTACCATGACTATGAGGAAGAGAGAATATCATTTGCGGTTGACTTCCTATCTACACTCATTATCCCAAAGTTTGCGTCAGTACTAGGAAGCCTCAATGCAGTGGAATCATCAGATAAACTGTCAGAGTAACTACTCAGTGACAAGCTTCTAAAGGATGATGTGGCATACCTAACAAGATCCATATCACCTAGCATCCCATTCATTGGGCTACTCTCTGGGGGCTGCACAACGGCAAAACATGTAGTTAACCATGGGCCTAAACCTGCCTTATTACATACAGAATGCCACAACTCGGAGAGCCATACGAGTGGGGAAATCCCTGGGAAGGAACAGAGTTCGAAGACATAATTAACGAACTGATTGAGAAGACTAAGGAGAACAGGGAGAGGATTGAGGAATCGGAGAAGACTGTTGAGGCCCTCAAGTATGACTTCGAAGCATTTAAAACCGACACTGTAAAAACAGTTATAAATATATACAAAAATCTTAATGAAATGCAATGAAAATTTTTGACACATATAGTATAGAGAAAGTGCAAGATGTTTTCTTCAATAGTGGGTAAAGATGGGATGGAAAAATTGTTTGAAAACAAAGAACTTAACGTGAGTGTAAGAACAGTGAGGAGAGGTGAGGAGGTACTGTTCTGTGCAAAAGATGTGGCAGAATCGCTGGGATACTCAGACCCGAAAAAAGCTGTTAGAACACATGTGTGGAAGAAGAATAGAACAACTGTAGGAGAGATTAAGGGGGGCGATTTGTCCCCCTTGCTAAAGAGCCATCCTGATACGGTTTTACTGTATGAACCGGGTCTGTATCAGCTAGTTTGCAGCTCAAGACTTCCGATAGCAGAGGCCTTTCAGGACTGGGTATTCAGGGATATACTTCCATCTATACGCAAGACGGGGTCATACGAGTTACCTAGTCAGAAGCCCCTTTACGGCAAACAGTTGAAGCTACTCGGTGAAACTGACCTCCATTATGCAGTAGTTAGGTACATCAGGAGATCCCACCCGGACGTACTCATTGTAGCGGGACTAGATGAGTACCAAGATACTGTTCAACGTAGAATTGACGCTTATCGTAAGGGCTACATAGGAGGACAAACTGATCTCATAATAACGAATCCAATGAATGGCTACAATGGATTTGCCATTGAGCTTAAGACCCCTAAGGGTACCGGTGATATTAGAGCCAATCAAGTCACATGGCTAAAGTTGCTACGCGAAAGGGGGCACAAAACACTGATATCCAATGACTACACAGACATAGTGCTAAGAATAGATGAGTACTTCAGGGTAGACGTAACAGCGAAACATAAGAAAGAAAAGGCAAACCTTACAAAGCAGTGTAACATACTTAAGCAGAAACTTAGCGAAGCAACTGCATTCCATCGACCTAAGTTTACAGGTCACAAGTACTAGGATGGTGACATGTTGGGATAGGATGGTGACATGTTGGGATAGGAAGAGAAACTTAAAAGATGCTCGGCAATATTTGTCGGGCGTTTTTTAAGCAATCCCCTCAGGGTGAGCATCTATGTAGACATCTATGTAGACATCTATGTAGATATCTATGTAGCCATCTATGTAGTTAAACCTAAGGTATTCATATATAGGATGGATGACGAACCTAACACAGAGCAAGTCCCCGTAACAAGTGAAAAGAAGAAGGACCCTAGAAGAGTAGAGGCAGGGAAACGACTAGCGGTCCTCAGTAAGGCAGCAAGGGAGAGGAAGAAGAAACAAGCGGAATCGAACGAGTCATCTAGTGGTAACAACACGATCACCTACATAGGGGGAGCTATTGCATTGGTATCTCTTGTGCTAGCATACAAGTCACACCAGAGGGAAGAGAAAGCATTGGAACCTAAGTATACACCACCAACGGTAACAATAGTGAGACAACCTGATGAATACAAACTGGACACACTAGAGTGACACACTAAACATACCATATATTATAGCAAGATGAGTAAAGAATCAAAGATGACTTGGGAAGTGTACGACGTAGTGTTACTTACAGCAGGAGCAGTAGGTATATCAATGGCATCAAAGAAAATGTTGAAAGAACCCTTAGGTACCCCAGAGAATGTAAAAGGAATGGCAAAATTAGCTGTTTCAGTATCTCTTTCATTTCTACTGGTTTCTTACCTGAAAGAAAAGAAGTATCTGCCAGATGATCCAAACAAAACCTAGGTAAAACTATACAATGGCTGGGGCAGTAGCAGGAGGACTCTTTAATGCATTTGCATTTGCGGGAGCAGGATACTTATTTCAGATGTTTGACAAGAATGGATACATGACTAGGACATAAGATATGGATACATGGCGAAGACATAACATGGCTATGGAGGCCCTCACAGCAGAAAGAGAGAAGTACCTTGAAGGGGTCACCGATAGGAGAAATAAGATTGCGCAACTAAGGGAAGAAATAGCTGAAGCAAATAGGGATATCAAGTCAACGAACCAATCACTGGAACTAGTTAGGAAAATCAATGAGTTAACACGTAAGCCTATGCCGGGGAGGCCGCATCTGAGTAATCACTACAAACCTAGCCCTGAGATGGAAGAATACATGGCACTCTTTGGTTTACTTGCAGGTGGAGCACTAGATGGGGCGGCTTATTTAATTCTGTAAAAATTCACCACATTTTTTCCGTACCTATTAGTATAGAGGAATGGACTGGTTATGTGAGGTAACGCTTGAGGAGCTAGTACGTGTAGGTAGAAGGACAAATACAATGAGAGAACTAGAGGCAGCTGTGCGGAAGTACGTGATAAGGAGGATAAAGAGGAGAAACATATATGACCCGATATGTAGTGAATGTGGAAGTAAGTCTATTGTAATGATAGACGGGGCAGATACATGTACAATGTGTGGTACCTGTGATATGAACAACTTTTCGTACTATGTTAGCTACAACTACAACAAGGACGACTATCTTAAAAAGAAGTCTTGCATTAAGAGGGTTCGTTGGTTTGAGAGACATTTATTGAAACATGTTGCAGCCAGGGATAGGGATAAGATACGGGAGCAGTTTAGAAGCATCGTAAGATGCATATAAAGACTTAGACTGCAACGGGGGCGCAACATTGTTAGATACAAGTTTTACCTACTCAGGTTAGCTACTATGAATGACATTGAGCTGAGGGATCCACCAGAGGACATTAAGACTCAAAAGATAGTGAACGTGCTTGAGGATAGACTGTATGGAAAAATGTATTTGTTGAGCTTGGATGGAAACCTGAAAATTGTACATATTATAATAACTGGAAAAATAAAAGCACTTAAAGAAATATTAATATAATAAATTAATAATGTATACCGAAAATGTTTTAATAAAAACTGTAGTAATTACTCCGAATCAAACTCTGTGTTTTAAAAATATATTAAATAATCTTAAGGAAACTGTTGAGGGAAAATGCTACGGTAATTACGGAGTGGTTACTAATGTGCACGAAATTAAAAAACTCTTTGGAGGGGAAATACCAGCAGAAGACATTGGGGCAGCGGCGAACTTCACTGTCCACTTCACATGCACTCTGTGTAGAGCTGAGGAGGGGGCAATTGTTGAAAGAAAGGTTACACGTATCAGCGGCAAGATCATTGTAATAAAGAACGGTCCGGTGACCATCTTCGCTATAACTGATAAGCGTGTGACAGTCGGTGAAAACTATAGAGTCATAGTTCTACTGTAACCCTAATAAGTGGTGAGTCAGAAATTACGACCATCGGAAAAATAATAAATTTAATAAATTAAATATAATTAAACAATAAATAAATTAAATATAATTAAACAATAAATAAATTAAATATAATTAAACAATAAATAAATTAAATATAAATAAATTCAAAATTAATTATTAATTAAATACCCTCAATTTTTTTTGACATATATAGTATAGAGGAAAAGTCTGGAAATGAGTTCAGTTAAAAACACCAATATGTCAAACATCAGCATGGGAGAGTTAATAGCAATTGGAGAGTACTTCTCAGGGAACATGGGTAGTGACGATGAGCAGGTCGAAAAGGATGTTGGGAAGTTTCTGGAGAACCCTTATTTTGAACGTAAGAAGCCAGAGGAAGAGCCCATTGTGATAAGACCTAGATCGCGGAGGATCCCTAAGAACTATACAGGGAAAAGAGGCACGGCACCACAATGGAAGTACTCCAAGAGACAACAGGAAAAGGCAGCTCTGATTGAAGAAGCATTTGGGCGGCTGAAGGGAACACCAGGATTGCCCGAAACAACGGGAGGATTGTCGTATACTGACAATGCCCTCATTAAGGCAGATGTTGAGAAGATAAAGGCTGAGAGAAACCCAAAGGTGCTTAAGAAGAGAGATAGACCACCAAAGGCTAAGACTGACGAGGAAGTCAAGGTGCCGAAAAAGAGAGGTAGACCCGCCAAGGAAAAGTTTGATGAAGAAGTGAAGGTTCCCAAGAAAAGAGGTAGACCTCCAAAGGCTAAGACTGATGAGGAAGTCAAGGTGCCTAAGAAGAGAGGTAGACCCCCAAGGAAAAGGTTGAAGTTCCACCCAAGAAGAAGCAAACAGTAGCCGATAGATTCATTTCACAAATGACTGTAAGACCTGTAATACCCGCTGATAGTGTTGTGACTAAAGTGGGTCCCGGTAAGTACAACATAGCTGTGGATCTTAATAAGGGAAGACCAACGAGAAAGGCTCCGGAGATACCTAAGGGTGTACCTTCATGGAGACCTACGCCTAAGCCTAGAACGGTACTTCCAAGGGAAAGACCTGTATCGAAACCCAGAACTAAGCTTCCTAAAGAAAGACCTGTACCTTTACCAAGGAAGACAAAACCAGCAAAGATCCGTAAGCCTGTAAAGCAGTTGAAGGAAGTCAAGGAGCAGTCTCAAGTGATTACTCCAGAGTTACATGAAATCGATCCATTTGACCTCCACAAGCCCGGTCATAGGAAAATTGAGACGGCAGCTAACGGGGCCGCTGGGACGTACATGGTAACTCCACAGTACATGGATCCGCTGGAGCAGATGACTGCAAGTAGACAGGTAGTGAGAAGTATACTTGTTAATTAACGAGTTGAAGAGAATGGATGGTTTGAAGTACACAGAGACCATCAAGGTGTGAATGTCAAAGGAAGTCGGTGATGGAAAAACAAAGAAGGACTCGATTTACTTCAAGTCTAAGACAGGAACTGTGACGAACTGCGAAGATAGTGAAAACACAGCTGCCACCAACCAACTGACCATTCTTTCTGGAATTGAGACTTTCCAAAACCTAGGCAGCAACTGGATCATACTAAATATTGAAAGCCACTATGTTAACATTGCGATGTACAAACCGTTGGCGGGGAGCTCATATATAAAACTTCCTATTGACATTAGTAATTGCAAGTGTGGCTTGCTAAACATGAGGAACGATGATAATATGTGCTTTGTGTGTAGCCATGTAAGACACCTTAGACCGAACGCTAGAAGGGCAACTCCTATTACACAGGAGGACAGGGACTTCGAGTTAAGCCGTGATTACGAAGGTATTGAGTTCCCTGTAAAGATAAGTGATATTGACAAAATTGAGAGGAAAAATAAGATAAACATCTCTGTGTTCGGCTACAAGGGAAGAAAACAGTTCTACCCCATAAGGATCTCTAAGAGTGAATATGATGATCACATGGAACTGCTTCTACAAGGGGACAGCGAAGGTGGCCTACATTATGTGCTCATAAAGGATGTGAATAGAATGCAGAACAGTGTGAGTAAACATGGGCATAAGCAGCACTTCTGTCTACACTGTCTTCACAACTGTACAAGTGAAGATGCACTGAAAAAGCATACGGAGACGTGCGTACAGGTAAATGGAGTTCAGGCAACACAACTTCCCAAGGAATGGACAAAAATTAAGTTCAAAAATCATAGGAACTCAATGCCTGTGCCGTTTGTGATATACGCTGATTTCGGGTCCATACTTGTGCCTGAGGAGGAAAGGAGTGGGTCGAAGAGTAGTGAGGACGAAAGTTGTACTACCCTTTACCAGACCCACAAGGCTTGCAGTTTTGGGCTTAAAACAGTGTGCCACTATGATGATAAGTACTCGGGTGAGTATAAGAGCTACATCGGAAATGACGCTGCATTTGTCTTCTTCAAGACTGTACTAAGGTAGTCGTTCAGATGTAGACAGATGGTTGACAAAATATTAAAAAAGAAGATGGTAATTACACCTGAACAGGAAGTGGAATTTCAAGCTGCAAACGACTGTTCCATATGTAGTAAAGAGTTAGGTGAAGACAGAATGAGAGACCATGATCATGTGACTGGAATGTACCGTGGAGCGGTTCATAACATATGTAGCCTGAAGTATAGAATTACATGGAAAGTGCCAGTGGTCTTCCACAATCTGAGAGGTTATGATAGCCATCTGATTATGCAGGAAATAGGTAAGTTTAAGATGGACGTCAACGTGATTCCAAATAATATGGAAGAATACATATCATTCTCACTAGGCAGAAATCTAGTCTTCATAGACTCTATACAGTTAATGGCTTCTTCGCTGGAAGACCTTGTAAGCAACCTTTCACCTGAGGACTTTAGGATAGTAGGTAAGAGGTGGAAGGGTGGGGATTTCAATCTGGTGTCACAAAAAGGAGTGTTCCCCTACGAGTTCCTAGATGATATTAGCAAACTGAGTACGGTGTGTCTACCGAGCAAAGATAAGTTCTACTCTTCACTGTATGAGTCGGGGGTGAAGGAGGAAGATTACCAGAGAGCGCAGAATGTGAGGGACCACTTTAAGATAAAGACGATGAATGATTACCATGATTTCTACCTGGAGACTGACATTCTTCTGTTGGCTGATGTGTTTGAGAACTTCAGGAGGACTTGCCTGGAGAACTACGAATTTGACCCTGCACATTACTTGTCAGCTCCCAGGCTTAGTTGGGACGCTTTCCTGAAAAAGTCAGGTGAGCATATTGAGCTGGTAAGTGATATGGACATGTTGCAGTTCTTTGAAAAGGGAATGAGAGGTGGCACCAGTTATATTGCACACAGACACTCAACAGCGAATAATAAGTACATGGAGATGTACAACGAGGAGGATGAGAGTAAGTTCCTTATGTACCTAGATGCCAACAATTTATATGGCTGGGCAATATCACAACCACTGCCTAATGGAGAGTTCGAGTGGGTCGAGGACGTTTCCAGTATAAGGCTGGAAGACTATTTGGGTGACGATGGTAGGGGGATGGTTTTAGAGGTTGACCTTGAATATCCAGACAAACTTCACGACTTACATAACGATTATCCTCTGGCCCCAGAAAGCAAGGAAATAGATGCGTCTATGTTGTCAGACTATGCGAAGAATATTGCTGATAAGTTCAAGTTGACAATTGGAGGTGTAAGAAAAATAATCACCTCATTGGGGCCCAGGGAGAAGTACGTGTTACATGTACGCAATCTAAAACTGTACACTGACCTTAGAATGAAACTGACTAGGGTACATAGAGCGGTTACTTTCAAACAGTCCTGTTGGCTTAAGAACTACATAGACTTCAATACGAAGATGCGATCAACTGTTAAAAATACATTCGAAAAGAACTTCTTCAAGTTGATGAACAACTCCATATATGGTAAGACAATGGAAAATCTCAGGAAACGTGTTGATGTCAAGATAGTGTCATCCAAAGACGATCTCGTGAAATTGGTGGCCTCACCGTGCTTCCAATCTCATAGGATCATGAATGAGAATCTCATTGTGGTAAAAAGAATAAAAGAGGTACTGACGCTCAACAAGCCGTGCTATGTGGGGATGAGTATACTTGACCTGTCCAAAACGCTCATATATGATTTTCACTACAACACAATTAAGAAGGAGTATGGTGAAAGGGCAAAGTTACTGTTTACCGATACTGACAGTCTCATGTACGAACTGAAGACGAATGACGTCTATGAGGACTTCAAGAGGATCGGTGATGAGAAAGATTGTTGGGATAATTCAGATTACCCGAAGGATAGTCCCTACCATTCAACTCACAACAACAAGGTCATAGGTAAGTTTAAGGATTAGGCTGGAGGTGTACCAATAAATGAGTTTGTGGGGTTAAGGTCGAAGATGTACTCATACGTGAAAGAGAACGGTAAGGGTGGAATGACGGCTAAAGGGGTTAAGAAGTATGTTGTTAGGAATAAGCTCACAGATGAGAACTTCAAGAATGTAATCAGTAGTCGAGGTAGGATGAGACACAATATGAACACGATCAGGAGCACCAAACATTCAATTGGAACGTATGAAATGAGGAAGGTCACTCTGAGTTGCTTTGATGATAAGAGGTACTTCTTGGAAGATGGAGTCACCAGTTATGCTTACGTTAATAAAAACATACAAAGTCGAGGTTGAGGTGACTACACAGGGTAAAGATCATGATGTCAATGATGTATCCGGACTACAGGGACATACCTCCTTGTGTACCCACAAGGGTAATTTGAAAGTTAGCGAAGAGGCTCTAGAATAGGGAAATTGGACGATATTGGAGAAGTGTAGGATTACCCGTACAATAGCTAATATGAGGCTCACATGGGAGGAGCGTGACCGCTAAAGCGATCCCACTGCTCCAGAATAAGTATAACAAAAACGTGCTCAGAATGGCTCTAGAACAGCCGTTTCAGTAGACTTATAACAAAAAAATTGGTACATCAAAATAGCGTTGGAACTGCTTATTCGAGATCAATTTCTGTCTCGAATCGGCAGTTCCTATAATACTATCCTATATATATATATATATATATATATATATATATATATATATATATATATATATATATATATATATATATATATATATATATATATATATAATTAAAATACTCATTAATAATTCATAAACCTTGTGGCAATAAATAATATATGGCTGATAAAACATATGTGGCATTATATAATTGTTCATCCTAATTACAATAATTATATAATGGTTCATCCTAATTAGTATTCTTTTGTAGTTGTATTTTAAACTATTCAAAACACTCGTTGTCGTGTTTTATCAGATATAAAACGCTCGGCTGCGCCTCGCGTTTTATATCTGATAAAACACTCCTACTCGTGTTTCAAATGGTACATATTTAATCTTAAAAATTGTATATGTTGCTACTCAGAGTTTCATGCAATTTCAGGTCCAGGTCCTTTGCCGTTGCAGGTCCAGGTCCGTTGCCGTTGCCGGTCCAGGCAACTCTGGCTTCATATATAAATATATATATATATATATATATATATATATATATATATATATATATTGTGTATTTGTATATATATATTGTGTAATTGTACACTCCCTAATATGTTAAGATGAAAATGTACTGGAGTGTGTAGGAAAGAGGTGTGTTATTAGGCTTAGAGTATGGATGATATTTACCAGTTGTTATAGATTTTGTGTGACGTGACACTAAATCTAACCACTGGGAAATATCATCCAGACAGTACTCTAAGCCTAATAACACACCTCCTTATGTGCATAGCAAGTCTAACCACCCACCCAGTGTTCTGCGTAATATTCCATTATCCATTAACAAACGACTAACCGAGATATCCTCTGATCAAGATTCATTCGAACAAGCCTCCCTGCCATATCAGCAAGCCCTTGACAAAAGTGGTTATAACCACAAGCTACAGTTTAAACACCCCCTAAACCTTACGAATTAAATCACTAAATGTTCCTCGGTATTCAGCGGAAACAGAATTATTGAAGTATGCGTGGAAGCTCAAGAAAAGCGGCAATAATACAACATCAAGTAGAGCATACTAAAGCTTACGTGCCCGTGCGTATACGGCTGGCAAGGGTGGGTAGTAGCGAAGTAGTTGTAGTTCGCTACTGTAGCGAACTACAATTTTCAAGTAGCCAGTAGTTTTTTACTACTTTTTTAAAACAGTAGCTGTAGTTATAGCGAACTACATTTTGCCTAAAAGTAGCCAAGTAGTTGGCTACTTTTCAAACGGCGAATCGCTATTCGCTACTTTTTAAAATTGTTAGCAACTTGATAGAATAACATGATATTGAGACACGGTCTGCTTAAAATCAATACTCAATAGTCAATTTGCACTCCTGAACACTGTAGTGCTTACAAAAATGTTATTTGTGTTTACTGTTGTCTGTTTCTACTCGTAAGTCGATTTGTTATAGGTTACATTACAGCGCGAGTTAATAGGGCAATTGCTAGATAGTATACTTGAAAATAAGGTTTCCGTTTTTATATCAATTTTTAAAAAAGTTAGGGTTAGGTTGGTGTTAGGGTGAGGTTGGTGTTAGGGTGAGGGTTTAGTATTAGGGTTAGGGTTTAGTTTTGCGTTAGGATAGTTTTTTTCTACATTACAAAAACGGAAACCTTATTTTGAAGTATACTATCTAGCGATCACCGAGTTAATAGTAGATGCTCCAAATGCAGTAAAACTAAAAAAAAAAATTAGCGAAATAGCGAAATAGTTCCCTACATTTTTTAAGCAGTAGCTGTAGTCAGTAGCGAACTATCTTTGTTCAAAAGTAGCAGTAGCTGTAGCTGACTACATATTTTTGAAGTAGCTGTAGTTATAGCCAACTACGAAAATATTGTAGTCAACCCACCTTTGACGGCTGGTGCAGCAAGATGCAATCTGTTCCTTGAAGAGAAAGTTTGCTTACTGGAAGCTGACAAAAACGGTTCCCGATTCTCACCGTGTCCGGGCACATTTTTCAAGCTCGCCCGGTGTGGATATACACTCAGAGCTATTAACATCACAAACATCATATTCACCTGAGTGCACAACACCAACACAGAAAAATCATATTAGATCTACTAGATTACATTGGTATCGAAGGAACTAGATTCTGTTCCGAAATATCACTTACTCGAACCAACCTGACAGCGTAGCTCAGTTGGAAGAGCATTGGGCTAGTATTCCAAAGGTCGTAGGTTCGATTGCCACCGTGGCCGGGCATATTTCTCAAGCTCGCCCGCTGTGGATATACACTCAGTGTAACATCACAAACAAAGCGACACAATTATTACAATCCACAATTTAGTAAAAATGTATCAACAAATATTGGACAAACATTTTTGAATATCATCGATGATGAATTCTCTGCTGGCCACCCCTCACACAAAATATTCAATCCAACCGCAACATCGTTAAAATAAGCTACATGCAGTTGTATGTCCAATATTAAAAAGCCATCGGCGGACACAACAAGACCAAACTGTCGGAAACCGCCACAACGGGCGAAGAATGCATGCAACCGTAGGAAGAATGAAGAGTTCCCAATGTCCAAAATATTTTTGGTCGAGTCCATTGTGTATCAAACTAGAGTTTCTACCAATGACAACAGACCACCTCAAACATACGTTGATCTTACTGAGAACTGTTTTAATTAAAACTTTTATTACCATTTTAAGGCCTACTCTGGGGCGGTAAATCGCCTTAAATCGCCCTAAATCGCCTAAAATCGCACTAAATCGCGGGTTAAAATTGTCGAATTTCTCCTAAATCGCCTAAAATCGCCTAAGATCGCTTAAAATCGCCAACATGCATTCTGCTTGATACATTCAGTCCATGTACTCAAGTTTATCAATTGCTGCTATTTTACGGGCAAATCATGTAATCCAGGTGCTTTGCAATGAAAGTAATGCAACAAGAATTAGCAATCAAATAAGTGGATTAGGCTGACAATATTTGGTCACTCAATAGGCACTGGTCATTGACAAAAACAGAGCCTTTTCTGCTTTATGCAGACTCTACAATAATTAGGTAATTCTGGGATCTGAAAGACCCATAGATCCGATACACTGCAAGCAACAAAATTGAGCTAGTTACCAGAATGAGCTAATTTCATTATTGGTGTAAATGGAGGCTGGGCTACAATTTATATGGACTATGGAGGCTGGGCTACAAATTAATCTATAATCTAGCTACATTGCTGTTAAGCCTGGTTCACATGTCTGCAATATGCCTGTGACGTCATTGTTTACAGCTGTTGATGCATTCTTTTGTGAATTATTTGGTTGAACTGCTAAGACAATAGCCCGCCGCCACATCGCAGACATATGTGAACCAGGCTTTAATTAGAACAACAGTAGGAAACTACGAAAGTCAATGAGTACGAGTGTTGATTTATATAATAAAGTCATCCTGTAATTTGTGCACTGTTGCATGTAAGATCGAGCACTGCATTGTATACAATGGTTGTACTTCGACATGTGCATGGTTATACTCTAGCTCCTAGTTATAACTATAGTGGCTATCAAACGAAAAATATACGTGAGGTTATGAGCGATTTGCAACTCTCGTCTATTAAATTTTCCAGACCTGTATATACAATAAACAGTAAAACAATGATTACATCTTACATACCATACAATAGATATTTTGGTGTTGTTTGTTTGCAGAACCTAAAACCACCATGTAGTGCGCCATTTGTTTAACAATTAACACTGTACTATTTTGGTTTTAATTTTAAAATAATTTAGAATTCCTACCATTTATATACGATATACTTCATGTAATTTAAGCATTACGGCAATACGCCGACAGTTTCCGAATGCGTGACGATACTGTTTCTGGATATGGCACTGGGATATCATATGATGTAGATATCAAAAAATTTATAAATATGTTTGTAGCATGAAGAAAGCACGAGATTGAAACAGTTTAAATAAAATGCAAGCTAAATAAAGAAGTTTTGACATGATACAAAACAAGACAATTTCACTTACAAGGTGACAAGGTAAATTATGGGATTATAGCCTATTCAGTTATACTGTACAAATACATTGTATGTTTCTACCCCCTACCCCTTGTGATTTTTTTGGAAATCAAATATTTATTATATTTTGCAATTTTAACTCGATATGTGTAGTGCATGCCCCTTAAGTAGAGTATATTAACTGTTTACAATATTTGTGGTGTATATAAATGTAGCTATGCAGGGTGTTAGCCAGAAAAAAAATTTTGTCCGTTAAACGTAAATTGGGAAAGTTTTAACTGGACTTAGCTGAATATTTTTCCCAAAATTCTTGGCGAGCGGGGGGGGGGGTGGGGGGTCACCAAAAAAAATTTTCAGGAGATATCAAAGAAATATTCCGTAATTTCCGCCAAATTCGAAAATTTTTCACAGAATATTGAAATTTAAAAATTTCCCCAATTTCGACCAATTTCGCATTGATTTTTGCCCGACCGTTAAAATTTTGGGGGACACGTGCTAGTTTTCCAGTAGACCCAGTTGGGAAAGCCCTCAATTGGGAAGAGTCCGTCAAACGGACAGCATATGGGCTAGCTAACACCCTGCTATGACCCCCAAGATGAACCCCAATGGCTTCTAAATAGAGAATGGGTGAAAAGTTCATGAATATTGAGCTTTATATGTGAATCAGGTTAAATACAATAGTTAACCTAGCTTTATATAAAATGTACATACATGTTCTAATAATTGTATTTTGCTTCATACAATGCATATGTGTGTGGAAACATTACATTATTATTCAGCTCACTCCCCACATTGTGGCTTTTCAGTGATCGATTACATCAAGTACTATGATTACTTATGTTAGCCTAGACTATTTATCTTTACAACAATGAGGATATGATATCACCTTCCTAACTGTGTTTATCCTAACCCACCCTGCCAATTTTGCCCTGTGGGAGGAAACCGGAGCAAAATATAGAATTCAATTCCTTTGAAAACACCTAAATTGCAATCACTAAAATTAAAATTTTTTTCTTAAATCGTACTAAATCGCAGTGCTTGAAAGTCCCAGTTTTTCCTTAAATCGCCTAAAATCGCCCAAAATCGCATTATATCGCAGCGATTTAAGGCGATTTACCGCCCCAGAGTAGGCCTCATTTTAAGAATATGTAATTAAACATGACTTTTTACATATCTTTCAGTTATTGTTCAATTTCAGATTAATCAAAATAAAATAAATATTAATCCCAAAATCCGAAGCATTTCGTGCTTAAATGTGTACTCCACTCAAGCGTCACTTCAATTAAAAAAAGAAGTATTCTGTCGATCCCAACATTTTCAAATTAATTTACGAAGAGTTCCGTTACAAATATAATTATTCGTAATCATATTTTATGGCTCAACTGGATTTTTAAATATCATTACATCAATTAAATATACTAAGAGAATGCATTTTCTGAAATTTAATAATGTTGTCACCGAAGACTTTTTGAATTAAATTATTTAACCGAAGCATTCGTTATTCAAAGGGTATTGTTGCCATAGGAAGTCTCTAATTTCGTGAAAAGTTCTTGCTTCGTGATAAGTTCTTCTTTGTTAAAAATTGTTGCTCTTTGTACAGATGGTGTTTTAAATAAGATATATACTTTCTTTAATAACTGTCTAACAATATGGAGCTAAATAGTAACTTTATCAGTTTTAGACAATTTTTATCGGCCATTTTGTGATTAAGCACAATATTTTACGAACTCACATATATAGCGACATATACTCAGTAACGTAATTTTATACTCACATAAGTGTTTTGGTACCGCATGACAAATTCATAATCTGGCAAAATATCACTTCGATTATTGATCATTTCCGTTGCGAGTTCTATAGCTGCTTTGAAACCATAGCGATCATTTCTGTAGCCCGGGAATAGACAATCGATGAAAATCTTGTTCTTTCCAGATGAACAGATTACTTTCAGAAAGTTCATCAAGAAAAGGATGACCAAATTGAATGACATGCCTAAAAGATCATAAGGGACCATTTATTATTTGTAATAAGGGACCATTCATTATGGGTCATGAGTTATTTTTGACCAAAAATGGGAGGACACCTAATAATATTGGTTCAGAAAGTGGAGTCCAGTTATTATATTATAGTGGTGAAAAATTTGACATGTAACTATTATTGCTACCGCAGGAAGCGAGGATGGTAGCAAATTTAATTCATGTAGCTGGCAAAATTCTCAATTTTAATCAACAGATAGATCAAAATGCAATGCGTAAATACCCAAAATGTAATGCGCGATATTAATATGAAAAACAATTCAAACATCAACCTTTTAACTTTTGCCATGAACTTGTCATAAAATTTTTTTTTAAATTTCCCTGATGTACATATTAATAAAAAAGACAGTCATGATTATGAGTAAGCAATGTAGCAACATTACGTCCAGAGCATGTTTGGCGTATACTATATACACTAGTATATACTAGGTATTTTATACATGGTTTAATTTAGTGAGTACATATTGTGTGCTATAGTTGAAAATATACTTCATAGTGTAGAAAATACACTGAAACTGGATTCTAATTGTTAATTCAGAATTTTTATCAAAATTTTTCCGGCCACTCTAAAGTTTGGATTAGTATGCAGCAGGGTTTCGTCTGATTAAATAAGCAAATTGTTGAAAGCACAAGTATATATAGATCTGATGCCTGGTAATGTGTCTATGTATACATCGGTGGTAGTGGTGGTGGTGGTGGGGGAGGGGGGGGTTACTATTCTTTTGAATTCATGTGAAGGGGACATTTTATTTAGTTGTTAATTGAATTTTGCCAGCCCACCCCTGGTCATAAATAATGAATGGTCCCTAATTAGACTGATAATTCTGGTTATTAAAAAAATATAGATTAACTATACATGGTTACGATATAGATGGTTAAAATATAGAGTAGTTACCCTATTATGGTATTTGTTAAGGAATTGGGGAAAGCAAAGACTCGCTTATCAGGCCATAACAGACTGGAACAACTTCGACAGAAAGATAAAACTCTCTTCTAGTATTTCTACATTAATTTTAAGAGAAACATTTTTAACAATGTTTGAACTTTGATACCTCGTATAATTTTTTAATATTTTTCATAGTTATGCAGTATATGCATGTCTTGCTTGCAAATTTGTTTATTTAGTTCAGGACGTTCTGAAAATCACTTTGTGAGAAAGCTTCCTGAAAATATATACTAATTAAAGAAAAAATGGTGGCCCAAAAATTGTCCCGTGTAATATTTGTGGAAGTATTGCGTTAGCTTTAAGAGTTTTCATTGCATGGGTTTAATTAACGTCTATTAAGCCAATCTATCGATATTTGACTGACGAAAAGAAACCTTCTATATATTCATTTGAGTAAATCAATCTTCGGTGCATGTGAAAACAGATTCGTTAAAGTGACCAATTTGAATTGGTTCTCTCATGTGCATGCATTTATTTGAACAATATTTTTAATTGTACATTAAACGAAACCAAAAAATGGATGAAATTATCCAATATAATATTCGTCAAAAGAAAATGCATCTGAAAAATCAATTCATGCAAATTGGTTATTTTAACTAATTCTCCTTAATTCACAGTGCTCAAGTAGGCAATTAGATAATCGATAAAGGCAAACTGATGGCGCAGATCGAGGAAGACTAGAATCATGTCTCACGAAAAATACTTTAAATTCTGATAATAATCCTTCACATTTCCAAGAATAATATATTTAATTATCAAAGATTTAACACCTAAATTAATTGATTGACTGATTGGAGTGATATTGAACACCATGCATAGTGAGCATAATTACTTAAAGATTCTTTACGTAAAACCTCTCTTGCGCGCACATTAATTATAATCATTAACTTTCGCGAAAGGCTTTATTAAACTCACGCGCATAAACTTCTGACTATATGCTTTGCGTGTAAACCGACTGTTCTATACAAACGTACAGTTTATAATAATTATGTCGAAATATCCCCAAAATACCTACAAACGTCAACTAATTAAACGCATAATTTAAACTCCTCTCGTAATGCTTGATAAATGATAACCCACCCGTGAGACGTGTAAACTTAGCCCGTATTAACATCGCCAGTTAGAGTTCTATAAAATGGATCTTCAGCCTTCTAGAGATGGCACGAACGACTTCTACAGCTAGATATGCATAAGGCTTCTCGATACGGCAGAAACGGGAAGTATGACAGAACACGAAGAATAATTTATTGTGTTGTTAGCAATGAATCAGGTTTACTGGCAATTCATTTCAATGCCAGCACATGGGAATGCCTTACGAATCGCATATTTTTTTACTTCGTCTCAGCTAGTTAAAGATCTCTGTTTGCCCGGTACGCCAAGAGGCACAGCAAGACTTGATAAGAAAGAGTTCTCAGAGTGTTTGGTGCACGAAAAAACGTGGGAAATGAAAAGAGAGGGAGGTAATATGCGTTAGGCACATCACCAACAATTTACTACTCTAAGTTAAAATCATCCTAAATTATTTTGAATTAAACGTTAGCTAGTAGTTTTGGTCTTTCTATTTTCATAGAAAGGGAGATAAGGCGCAGCAAAATTCCCCATTTCCTGGAGTCTGGCAATGCAGTGCAATGCAGTGCAATGCAGTGCAATGCAGCGCAGTGCAATGCAGTGCAATGCAGTGCAGTGCCATTTAGTGCAATGCAGTGCAATACAGTGTAATGCAGTGCAATGCAGTGCAATGCAGTGCAATGCAGTGCAATGCAGTGCAATGCAGGCAATGCAGCGCAGTGCAATGCAGTGCAGTGCAGTGCAGTGCAGTGCAGTGCAGTGCAGTGCAGTGCAGTGCAATGCAGTGCAATGCAGCGCAATGCAGCGCAATGCAGCGCAATGCAGCGCAATGCAGTGCAATGCAGCGCAGTGCAGTGCAATGCAGTGCAATGCAGTGCAGTGCAGTGCAGTGCAATGCAGTGCAATGCAGTGCAATGCAGTGCAATGCAGTGCAATGCAGTGCAATGCAGTGCAATGCAGTGCAATGCAGTGCAATGCAGTGCAATGCAGTGCAATGCAGTGCAATGCAGTGCAATGCAGTGCAATGCAGTGCAATGCAGTGCAATGCAGTGCAATGCAGTGCAATGCAGTGCAATGCAGTGCAATGCAGTGCAATGCAGTGCAATGCAGTGCAATGCAGTGCAATGCAGTGCAATGCAGGCAATGCAGAGCAGTGCAATGCAGTGCAATGCAATGCAGTGCAGTGCAGTGCAATGCAGTGCAATGCAGTGCAATGCAGCGCAATGCAGTGCAATGCAGCGCAATGCAGCGCAATGCAGCGCAATGCAGTGCAATGCAGCGCAGTGCAGTGCAATGCAGTGCAATGCAGTGCAGTGCAATGCAGTGCAATGCAGTGCAATGCAGTGCAATGCAGTGCAATGCAGTGCAATGCAGTGCAATGCAGTGCAATGCAGTGCAATGCAGTGCAATGCAGTGCAATGCAGTGCAATGCAGTGCAATGCAGTGCAATGCAGTGCAATGCAGTGCAATGCGGTGCAATAAAGTGCAATGCGGTGCAATAAAGTGCAATGCAGTGCAATGCAATACAATTTATTTAACGTTTTCAATACACTTAGAATAATGCTAATTTTCGAGTATGCCACTGAGTGTTACTAAATTTACATTAATATTATTCCGTAATATTCTATTTAAATAAACGTTATAAAACTGTGTCTATGCACTATAGTTCTTGTGTGTTGGCTAATAAGTTTTTTGAAGTTACTATCTCCTTTGTCTCCCTCAGGTCAGCCGGCATAATGTTCCGAAGTGTCGCCGCTGTAAAACTCCATGATTTCTGTCCATATGTTGTCGTCTTGAATTTCGTATGCTGTAATTGTTTTTTTCAATGAAATAATTCATATTTTCACTGTTTGATTCTGTGTTGACTATATTAAAATTTGAGATTAGAATCTTAAATTTGTGTTGCTGTTTAAATGTATTTAGATTCAGACGTTGCAAGAGTATTTCGTATGATGTAAACTTTTCGTATTTGACAATTTATAAACATGCCAATATTTGCATAACAGGACTGAATCGCCATTTTGTGGACTATTCGCCATTTTGTGGTTTAAGATACGCAGTTGATGTATTGCAGTCCACAAGCGTTTTACTACCTTCATTCCTTCACGATGCATGATCAATTTTTTCCAATAAAATATCACGCAATTAAATGTCGAGTTCATCGCAACAAACGTGTCGGCCCACAGATGAAAAAACACGGCTTGTTTATTGTAAAATGGCGTTTCTGACGTAAAACGGAAAGTAGAATAAACATGCAACAGCCATGCAACAGCCATATATATATATATATATATATATATATATATATATATATATATATATATATATATATATATATATATATATATATATATATATATATATATATATATATATATATATATATATATATATATATATATATATATATATACAGTCATTGCCAAAAAGGTTGTCCAGATGAAATATATCTAAATTCCTAAATATCGATCACGTGACATGTATTTATTCGTGGGTATTCGTGGGGCGTGCGTGGTAATTGCGTGTTCGATTAGCGTGGTGAAATTTTCCACAATGCCAAGGCCTTATTCGAATGATTTACGCTGGAGGATGATATATCAACGATATTTTTATAATAGAAGCTATGAGGACATAGCTTCACAATTATTTGTTTGTTCGAAAAGCGTCTATCGGACAGTTAGAACTTTTGTAAACACGGGTGATGTGAAACCATGCCGTCTTGATCGCCCGACGGGAAGCATAACACTATTTCCTCATAAAGAATACATGATAATGGATTGTATACTTCGCAACCCGCCAATACAGCTCCATGAAGTGGCTGATAATATCGCCAATGTCACTGGATCAGCGTTTGGGCCCGCGGAGACGCTATGCCGTGCTCTATATAGGCTTGGAATAACGCGTAAGAAGGTAAGCTATGACATTTTCAATAAGTTAGTATGGCTGGCCATAACACACATATTGTTTCACCAAGCCGGCCTATGAGCAATGATTAATTCGTCTTATAATAAAAAAATGTGATAATTTTGAAAACTGATCAGTTTCCTTTTCTCCAGATACATGCAGAGAGTTGCTCTTCAACAAAACGAGAACCTCAGGCAACAATTCAAGGCCGAAATCAGCGTATTTAGCCCAAACCAACTAGTTTTCGTCGATGAAACTGGCATTGTATGTAGGCTAACAAAAAATAATTATACCTGTCGTTCTACTGTTAAGAACTGATCACATTCCTATATTTATTTAGTTGTACTTTTGTTTAAAGGATAAACGGATAACTCGACAATATGGTTATAGCGCTCGTGGAACACGTCCCGTCGTCCGTGATTACAGCTATGTTCGGTGGGCACCTCATTATTCGGCTATATCAGCAATTTCGAGTGACGGGCTTATAGCTAACCAACTGATGAAAAATCCAGAGGAAAGATTTGACGCGAATTCGTTTATACAATTTCTTAATGAGCAGCTTTTACCGGCAATGAATCCGTTCAACGGGGAAAACCCGCGATCTGTTATCGTCATGGGTGAGAGTAATTAATGCAAAATTAGCTAACTTACTGTGTATATAAATAAAACCAATACTTGTTATTGTTATAAGCACAAGTTTTTAAGCCCCTGGGAATTTTCGACCTATTGTATGTCAAGTCTTTCGTAATTAGTCATCTCATTAGTTCGATTATAATTCTATTTTACACACGAACCCGTGAGTTTTGCGTATTACTTAGGCATTGAAATTCTATCACTCCAATAGCTTGATTTAAAAAGTTCTTGGTTTTTATGACGTTTCATATATTATTAGTAATATGAAAATTATTGCAAAAGACAAACTTTAAAGAAACTAATAGCATGCATGCATGTGCTTTCTTTCAACAGACAATCACGCTGTTCATCATGTCCAAGAAGTCATAGAACGTGTTTATGACTATGGAGCAATTAGATAGAAGAAGTATTTGCGAATGTTAAACACTATTTGCGTCAGAATCACTTGGTACTACACTTATTGCAATATCCTAGCCCCCTAATCTGGAATGCATACGGACAAATTACGTCGAATGACTGTTCGGGATACATGCATCACGCTGGCTACATTTGACTATTTGAAATAGTTTTAAAAACTTAATTTATTTGGTTTTATAAGCTTTTCTAAAGTGCAAAACTACATTTTTATACAGGAAACGAATTTTTTAGTGCTGCGCATATTCTACTCTCCTATACTCTCTTATAAGAGTTATTCTACTGTAGAACACATTATGAGGTCTACTTAATTCGATCAATATAATGTTTGTAATGAATACAATTGAGTGCAAGGTTGTATAAAGCAATCCTTTGTCTACGACGTTCTATACGTTGCAAGTTCCAGCAAATATTACTTTTATAAGAGTCTCCACGAGAATTTAAATTTATGTTTTTAATTTGTCACAACGGTTATTAAATGATATAGCTACATATATATACAATTATAAATCTTCTAACAGTACTAGCTTTTTTGCTTGTATGTATGTCTTCTGGATTGTCTATGGTAAAACAGAATTATAATCGAACTAATGAGATACTGTATGACTAATTACGAAAGACTTGACATACAATAGGTTGAAAATTCCCATGCAGGGGCTTAAAAACTTGTGCTTATAACAATAACAAGTATTGGTTTTATTTATATACACATTAAGTTAGTTAATTTTGCATTAATTACTCTTACCCATTACGATACAGATCGCGGGTTTTCCCCCGTTGAACGGTTCATCACTCGAAATTGCTGATATAGCCGAATAATGAGGTGCCCACCGAGCATAGCTGTAATCACGGACGACGGGACGAGTTATCCGTTTATCTTTAAACAAAAGTACAGCTAAATAAATATAGGAATGTGATCAGTTCTTAACAGTAAAACGACAGGTATAATTATGTTTTGTTCGCCTACATACAATGCCAGTTTCATCGACGAAAACTAGTTGGTTTGGGCTAAATACGCTGATTTCGGCCTTGAATTGTTGCCTGAGGTTCTCGTTTTGCTGAAGAGCAACTCTCTGTATCTGGAGAAAAAGAAATCAGTTTTCAAAATTATCACATTTTTTTATTATAAGACGTATTAATCATTGCTCATAGGCCGGCTCGGTGAAACAATATGTGTGTTATAGCCAGCCATACTAACTTATTGAAAATGTTACAGCTTAACTTCTTATACGCGTTATTCCAAGCCTATATAGAGCACGGCATAGCGTCTCCGCGGGTCCAAACGCTGATCCAGTGACATTGGCGATATTATCAGCCATTTCATGGAGCTGCATTTGCTGGTTGCGAAGTGTAGTACTACAATCCATTATAATGTATTCTTCATGGGGAAATAGTGTTATGCTTCCCGTCGGGCGACCAAGACGGCATGGTTTCACATCACCCGTGTTTACAAAAGTTCTAAATGTCCGATAGACGCTTTTCAAACAAATAATTGTGAAGCTATATCCTCACAGCTTCTATTATAAATATATCGTTGATATATCATCCTCCAGCGTAAATCATTCGAATAAGGCCTTGGCATTGTGGAAAATTTCACCACGCTAATCGAACACGCAATTACCACGCACGCCCCACGAATACCCACGAATAAATACATGTCACGTGATCGATATTTAGGTATTTAGATATATTTCATCTGGACAACCTTTTTGGCAATGACTGTATATATATATATATATATATATATATATATATATATATATATATATATATATATATATATATATATATATATATATAGTTTTTCGTTTTACCTCAAAAAACCACAACAGTCTGTTTCATCGGTATAGGAATCATCAGGTGGTGAATAATTTCGAAATTGTAGGTTGCTTTTATGCTATCGAAAGAATGTGCGGAATGCGTGTAGGATAAACAATGCTTAGGCGAAACAATGCATGCTTGGGTCATTAGGTTTTGTTAACGACCTTGTTTACTCGAAACCGGTTTTTGTGACGACATTTGCCGAAAATTTCGCTTCTTTTATTGAGTAAATTGTCTTTGTTTATGTCTTTCAAAATGCAAAATTTTTCTTTCAAACATAAATTGCAGCGTTTTGATCCCCCTGTGTACGAAATAGCGTGTTTTAAAATTGACCATTTGATGGTATAATCCTGATTGTTTTCTTTTAATTTCCAAATATGTTTCGAAAGTTCCGTTTTGTTTGAGTCTTTTTTATGACGAAAAGATGAAGTGTGGTTAGCGTAACGTTCCTTAAATGTAGTCGCTGTCATACCAATGTAGTGTTTAGTGTCATTCGTGTTGTTCGTTGTGACTGTTGCTTTGTAAATAATGTTGTTGGTCATGCATTGTTTCGGTAGTGGGCAAGTGTTTTTGTTGTCGCAGTTACAGTTGTCGGTTTCCGTATTCTGTGATTGACTGTTCCTAATTATATGTGCGTTGTGTTTGGTGATTATAGACTTAACGTTGTTCATGCAACTGTAGCTTACTTTTAAAGTGTTTCTGTTGAAAATCTTGTGTAGTTTGTGCTGTAGTGGGAAGTGTTTGTCAATTAAACTTAAGAATTCCCGTCCTATGTTCGTGTTAACACTCTTACTAAATGGTGGGTTGAACCAAATTATGTTGCGTTGCCTATTCCTACGCGTCCGTTGCGGTGCATCCTGAGTGTACGTAAATTCATGATCAAAGTTACTATGTGTAAGAGCGTTCTGGTAAATAGGTGTGGATTCCTTAAATGTTTGTTCGTCCGATGAGAGAAGTGCAATGCGTTTGTTGATAGCTGTAGGCAATACACAAGAAATTCTATATTTGCACTATGTTAGGACGAACGGTAAATGCAGTGACTCAAAGATTGTATACTACGGTCAGGGAATTAAACCGAATATAATGGGCTAATTATGCATTCAATACAAACTTTTCCCACTTTTTATCATTCCGTTTTAAAATCGAAATTTAACCTTTTCGTTTTTTGTCTATACATCGCCATAAAGTATGTTAATTAATTCGTGTTTGTCTTACCTTTATTCACTCGAAGAGACTATAAATTCCTACAAAACTTTGAAATTCTCAATATATATATATATATATATATATATATATATATATATATATATATATATATAATTTCGCTTACCTCAAAACTCCACAACTGTCTGTTTCTTCCGTAAAGAATCATCAGGCGGTATATATAAATATATAGATATATAGATATATAGATATATAGATATATAGATATATAGATATATAGATATATAGATATATAGATATATAGATATATAGATATATAGATATATAGATATATAGATATATAGATATATAGATATATAGATATATAGATATATAGATATATAGATATATAGATATATAGATATATAGATATATAGATATATAGATATATAGATATATAGATATATAGATATATAGATATATAGATATGTAGATATATAGATATATAGATATATAGATATATAGATATATAGATATATAGACATATAGATATATAGGTATATGTACTATTTAAACACGCGTATAGGAGTGTTTTATCACATATAAAACACGACGCGTTGCGGGGTGTTTTATATGTGTTAAAACACGACTACAAGTGCTTTAAATGGCTTAAAAAACGACTCATCATATACGAGTTCATTGGCGAAGTAATTTTTAAACTAAAGTTTGTCTAAACCGAGAAAATCAAAGCTAAAATTTATGTAAATTAACATGATTTTTTATCACATATAAAAACACGACACGCTTATGATTTTTCTTTGTGTTTTGCTCCTGAATTATTAATGAGTTTTTTAAAGATATATAAATATATAGATATATAGATATATAGATATATAGATATATAGATATATAGATATATAGATATATTGATATAGATAAAGATATAGATATAATAGATATAGATATAGATATAAGGGGTATACCCCTGATGATTCTCCACGGATGAAACAGACTGTTTTCGAATTTTGAGGTAAGCGAAATTCTATATTTGCACTATGTTAGGACGAACGGTAAATGCAGTGACTCAAAGATTGTATACTACGGTCAGGGAATTAAACCGAATATAATGGGCTAATTATGCATTCAATACAAACTTTTCCCACTTTTTATCATTCCGTTTTAAAATCGAAATTTAACCTTTTCGTTTTTTGTCTATACATCGCCATAAAGTATGTTAATTAATTCGTGTTTGTCTTACCTTTATTCACTCGAAGAGACTATAAATTCCTACAAAACTTTGAAATTCTCAATCGTCTGAAAAAAACCCTTTCGTGCACGTTTTTAATATCATAACATTACTCATATATTACTTATATTAACTTGTCAATATATAATATTTATGAACATCAATTTATATTGTTCGTCATTCAGAGCTCTTGATAACATACCCTATCTTTCTATCTAGCTAACTTAGTAAAGTAATTCATTCAGCAATCCTCAGTAAAAATTTACTTTAATCGTTTACCAATGGCCTTATTTCGTTCATATACCTTACATTTAATGGAATTTTCATATTAGTCTTGATGTTAGTTTTTCGTAATCGAAA